CGATGAGGAGCCAGTCCCCCACCCCTATGACACCGTTCCCCGGGGCCCGGCGGCAGGTAACGTATAGAGGAGCCTGCCGTGTGTGTCCAGTGCCAACGCCGCGGTACCTTAACGCAGTCATGTGCAATAGCGCCCCCTGCTGGTGGGAACCCCCCTTAGCGTTCCCCTCCCCCGCTCCATCTCCCACCTAGCCAGATGGGGCTGACGTCTCGGTCATGGCCCCCGTGGTGTGCCTAGATCAAACATGTCAGGCTCTCCCCTGTGATCATGGGTCCCTGGGGGAAGTTGTCTGTGTTTTAATGTTCTTCCCTTGTGGGGCGTGGGATTGGGGGCCCAACCTTTTAGCCCTTCAGTGCATTGAATAAAGAGTCACGTATCTGGATCTGACCTCCTGGCCTGTTCGTTGTATTTTTGTGTAGAGCACTTACTGCCCCTCCCGTAGCCTGGGCTGGGGAGAGGGGTTGATTGGCCCTGCTTGCTGCAGCCAAGGTGGCTTGGGGTGGGGGCTAGGGAGCCGCCTTAGCATTTGGCTTGTAGACTAGCCCTTCTGTTGCCATGGCTTGTCCATCGCATGGAAGCCTTTCATGGCTGAGAGCATCACACCATGTGGTGTGTGGACTCAGACCCCAGCAGCTCTCCTCTCCTGGGCCTTTTGGTGCAAGGGAGCTCCGTTTTGAGAAGTAGCACCCCCGACGCTGTAGGACCGTCCCTCGTACCAGTCCAGAGACCAGGCCCCTGCCATGCCCAACTCCGTGGGCAGCTTCAGCCTCCAGGATGCAATTGTCATGGAGACACTAGTACCTGGAACAGCCTAAGGATGCTGTGCCCAAGTTGGTCCCAGTGCATTGTGCTTAAATAAAAGCCTCATGGCTGGTAGGAGATGGACCCCCTCTGTCATCACCATCCAGACTCTGTCGTCCTCGGTGCTGACCCCTGGTCCCTTGCTGCAGTACGGGACCGGACACATGGTTCTGGTTCCAGCCAATAGCCTGCGATTGCAGCCCCAGCAGCGCCACCTGGGGGCAAGCAGCGGAGATCCCACTAGTCATCTCCTTAGTGGCTCTGCCCTCCCCACACCACCCCTCCCCTCCCGGGCATCTGCTGGCCACCAGGGCATCCCTGCCATGGAAGTATCCCGAAGATCTAGCCACAGGCAGGGAAGCAGGAGCCAATTCCTAGTTGAATTGTCTTTGGGTGTCTTGCTTGGTTTGGGGGAAGAGGGGGAAAGGATCAAACGGGCGAGCCCTGGATGTTGCCTGGACTCTCCTCCCTGCCTGTCTGTCTGTGCCTGTGCCAGTCTGTCCCAGTGGTGCCCTTCGTCTGTCTTAACACCCCTCCCCGTGGGCTGTTCTCTCCAACCCATGCTCCTGTGCCCTGTTGTAGGTGAGAGCGGGGCTGGCCTGGGGCTCTTCTCCTGGGGGCCCTGCCCCCCTGAGATCCTCTCCACCATCTACGAGGTGGAAGGAGGCGCAGAGAGCCCTGGGCAAGTGCCAGAAGAGGAGGAGGAGGAAGAGGAGGAGGATGGGAGCTGCCGGCTCCTGCCTACTGCCCCCTGTGACAAGGCCCCTCTGCACCTGGGCAGCCTCCAAGCAACTGTCATGCAGCAACTGATCAGCCGGACTCTGCTCTTTTCCTCCACTGGGGAGGCCCCCGTGGGGGGCAGAGGAGCCCCCGTCATGAGTGAGGTGGAGCTCAGCAAGTGGACAGACCTGCTGTCGCCATTGGATGAATCTCGGGCCAGCATCACCTCCGTCACCAGCTTCTCCCCCGAGGACATCTCGTCTCCCCAGGGCGACTGGACGGTGGTGGGGGGGGAGCCCTTCCACTGACTTCCCCCTCCCACACCGGCTTCACCCCTCCTTCCCACACCTGCTTAGATCCCTGCCGTGACCTGCTCTGCTCCTTCCCCTGGGGGCCAGACCTGGTGGGTTGGCTGGTGCCTCTGGTCCAGCGACGCAGAGCTTTCCTTCTACCTCGTGGCCCAGAGTGGAGCAAGTGGAGCCTGGGTGAGGCTACGTGGGCAGGTGGAGACGGCCGCGTGGAGACCTTGCACCAGGGTGAGACTTCGCTACTGTCCTGAGGCCTTGACGTCAGGTTCGAATGTCTGTTTCTGATCTCGCTGTCTCTCCCTGGAGCCCGGGCCAGAGGGGGGGAGGGGCAGCGGCAGGGGGCGCCCCCCTCTCTCTCTT